TATTCATTTAAGGACTTTTACCTTTAAGGACTTTTGGGTTTTCTAGGTTCAACGTTCACTCAAACCATAACTTCCACTAGCATCACGACCGGAGAACTGCGCAACATTCTCGGTTGCTAGTACCTGACAATGTGGGTCACCTCCCACTGGAATACCACCAACTGAGGGTGGCAACGAAACGTTACCTGTGCAACCCTGTCGGATCTAGGCGTCCCCTTCAACAGACCTGACTACACCTGTGTTGCCGTAATCGGCAGGTAGCACGTACCCAACAGGAACTGTAAGAGTGCCCTCCGCCAAAGGAACACCCATGCCTGGGGCACCGCTACAATTCACATGACCATGACTTATTGTGTCACGACCTTCGTGCCTAAAGGCGCAGGAATTGCTGACTCCCATACTGGGAAGATCTGCACATGGCTGCGCTAAAAGCGCATGAACTTGCGAAGACGGCTGTCCAGGACTTCCGCCAGAAATCCTAGAAAAGGAACGGCCCTGAGGGCTTACCGTTAGCTGTCGACCTTCCTGGCCTGCAGGATGAATTGCCATACCGCTTTGCTGAGGAGAAGCGCAATGCGTGCCTGCAATTGGGCTCATCACCTGCTGACACTGGGGTTGCACACAAATGGGGCACTTAACTGAGCGGTACGGCAGAGCCCTTAGACACCTTCTTCTATATGGCGCGAGAGGCTGCTACCGCTACCAGATATCAATCCTACAGAAAAGACAAACAACCAGGAGAAGACAAAGAAGCAATGTCGCCAGTTGTACACTGCAATTAAAATCTAAAAATGTAGATATTACCTTTGTACAGAGTACTTAAGCACGTCTCACCACTATGGTCCGAGACAGCTACGGGCATGCATAAGTTCTACACATGCTGCACATGTACTCCTGTTCATGTACACGCAGTTGCAATAGGGTCAGTGATTACAATAGTGATGGCAATAACCGCCCTGTCAGCCTGATAAAAGGCACGGGGATAGTAACAGTAGTCGTAGTTACTGGCACGCGGCTTGGAAATATGAAGCAAACGCGACACATGCATGCTTCAGATGTTGAAAGTGCTGAGAGGAGCAGTGATTTTGAAACCGGTAAAATCTTGTGGCCCCTCGTTTTTGGACTGGGTCGCTCTGTCCAAAAGGAGGGCCTTCTCTTCTCGCAACTATCACAACTGACGTCACCCCCGAACCCCGCTCAAGCGCTCACGCCGCAGCGCGCTTGCTGCTACAACACAAGAAAGGCAACGGGCAGACTCCAAAGGTACCTTCAGGATCCGATTACTACTGCCATCGTTATGGTGCTGTTGCTGTTCTAATCATCATGCAAGTATCATTGCTTTCCAATTGGTCGCCTGTTCATGCAGTAGTATTTCGAAAGCCATATTCCTACTAATTGTACCATGATTCCATCGTCATATATCGTCATGAATCAAGCTTGCAGATGCTCAGCAAAACTTGCACCGTTCTGTTTCTGCTTGGGGGTACGTAGTTATCGATACGACCACCGTCTTGACTGCCATTTCCTGGCTATTGACATCACTGCTGTAAATCACAAGTAATATTTTTGATACTGTTTACGAGCCGGACTATTACTGTTGTGGCTGTTGCGAGTAATGTTGTTGCCGATGTTATTCATGTTGTCGTTGCTACTGTTACAGGGTAACGGTGCGACGGGCAATGACAGCAATCCAAAACAACACGAGTGACAGCATATGAAAGCACGAAAAACCAAGCAATGTGGGTACTTCTTGTAGTAACACTACGAATAGCTGTGAACGTGGCAAACACAGACTGAGCGATGATAGCAATTACAAACCAACAAAACAGAAAGAAGCAGGAAGCAGGTCGAAACGGAGAGCAGGAGCAAAAAGCAAGCAGCAGGAAGCGAAAAGCAAAAAGATGCAAAAAGCTGGACTACAAGAGGCTCAGAGAGTAAAGGTCGAGAATGGAAAGCAACAGGAAAAAGCTAAAAACCGAGTCACCAGCCAAAAAACAGAAAGCCCGAAGCAAAGAAAAAGAATCATTTAAACACGCAGCTCCTTAACATCCCCTGACCTTCATCTTGAGCTGGCGCCTCAACGCGATGAGTCAGCCATGCTCATAACAACAACCTAACCACACATGTCTCACCTGGCATCCCGCTTAGAAGACAACTCGGCGCTGTTGATTTCTCGGAATTGAAGGGTACACGCCTCTCGCTCTGTGCCAAAATTGGGATACGAATCCTCTCCTTGATTTGACTGTCTGGACACAACATGCAAATTACATCGCTAGATATCGCTAGGAAGTATCTTCGAGACGTGCGTAGGGGTGTAGGCTGCGGATGGGATTGGGCAAACCTACCAAAGGCGATGACAATGCTGGGTGCAGACAGGGCCCTCATGAGAAATGCCGTGACCATTCGAAAATTTTGAGATGTGAGAAGCGAACGCAAAGAAAATCAACTCACTAAGACTAATTATTTCCAGAGCTTCCAAGATATACTCCAGCTATAGGATGAGTTCTTATAAGCTATGCAATTTTGAATCTTCTGGAAAACTAACTTTGGGAAATATATTCATCTCGGCCTATCTTTCTAGTTAATCGAGATTCCAACAAGTTCCCTTGCTAACGAATGCGGCGTTCAACCATGCGGCTATCGATCCGTAAATCTTACAGAGACTGGTGGCCAGCACGCACACTGCCCCCGCAAGCAGCGACTGCGGGAATGGACGCAAACAAAGCACCAGACCCCAGGCTTCTACGCCAACTTTGCACCATAATTTTTCAGTTGAGGAGACGTCCCACAAGTTTGCATCTGGCCAAGGAATCCCTACATCCTAGACCCAGCAGCCACTTGGTAGCTAGCCACTACTGCGCCCCAGTTGCTCCGCCATGGCATACTGACATGATCTGAGACGCTTGTCAATGCTGCACGACATGCCTTCGGGCGGACTGGAACAGGTGTTGGCGGCCGGAGTTTTTCAAGTGATTTCCAGATGATTTCCAGAGGCACGTCACGAGAAAGGCGACCTACGTGTGTAGAAATGAACATGTACGTGAGAGACTCCAAATTCTCGCATCAGGTCATCGATGCTGGCGCTTGGCTTTCTCGGGTACCTGATTGCTAGGGCAAGTTGAGCTCTGAGAAGAGAAGCGATCGGAAAACTGTGGCCACGCCAAAGCGCAAGACTTCGCGTGTCCGCGAACCCGGAATGTCCACATTTTGGGCAGAGGGCCAAAGATGTGCAGTAGGCTGTTTGGCACTTGCGCAGCGTGATCGAGGCTTTAGGCTTACGGACTTAAGCCTTTGGGTGATAGCGCTTGAGCCTTATGCTGTCCATGATCTCAAGGCACATTCCGCGTGCGGGAGTGCACGCCCTGAGTTGAATGTCTCATCCAGCCCAGTTTGAAACAGCAACTAATTCCGTCCCATTGCATTTCACCAGGGAAGAAGGGCTCATGTCGATGCGCTGCAAAAGTGCTGCAAAGGACGGTCGTCACCTCTCGTCCTTTTGCTTTTGATTGTGAACCAGTCGGCACTTACTGCATTGCTGGCCTGGCAAAAGTGGAGGCGCTCGAGTGTTGCACGGGATCATCTTTCCCTCCTTCTGTGAATGCAAGGCAGATTCACCCCCTGCACTTTCCTAGACCTTGTTGCGCGTGCGCATGCATACTGCAACCGGAGCTCGGCACAGTTGTCGTTGCTGTTTGTCCTGATGTTGAGTGAAGTTCATACAATTTTCAACAAAACAAAGAACACCTTCTTCGGAACCAGCGTGTGAAATTCAACGACTGCAGCAATGTAGTTCATGGTGCATGAGCCACTGCTCACAGGCGTGAAGGGCCCTTCAGACAACAGCAACAGCAAACGCTGCCAAGCTCGCGGCCATGCACCAGGACAACTTTGCCCTCCAAAGGCCTCTCAAATACACAGGCTCCCAGCCCATGGGATCTCACCCGCTGCTCGCTGTGAACATGAACAGTAGCAGCGTGTGACCCGCAACGTGCCGACAGTCTGCACGCAGCTACTGGCTAACAAGATGCTCTAAGGCTCAGGTGCCAGCAGCCTTTTGGCCATGCTATGCCATGCTCTACGGCAACTTCTAGGCCGGTCTGCTAGGTGTAATTACGCCGCATGCGTTCCAATGGCAACATGTGCGAAGCTGGGCCAGATTTTTGCTGCCATCCTCTACATCTGAGATACTCCTGATGGTCCGCATGAAACTGCTCACAGAAGTGTCGTCGGGGTGTTGCTTGTCTAACTCTTGTCCAACAGGTACTCCAAGCCTTTCAAGAGGGACACTGATGCTGCATGCCCAAGTGCCCCTCACGATTGTGGTTGAGAAGGCCATGCATACTTCAAACTGAGGATCTGCGTTAGTCTTGCACGAGGTCCAACTTTTGAGGCACTTCTTTGTTGCCAACTCCGCCACGGGCAGCAGGGTCACTTGGCACATCTTGGCACGTAGTCAGCACCAGACAGCACAGGACTAGGTCTCTGCGCGGTCTGCATCCTCCGTCGCAGGCGGCAGCTCTTCTGCCGCTTTGCGCTCACAGCAGTACACATGGTACCTCGTCCCGGTCCAAACTGCCGTGTTTGAAGGCAAATTTAGGTGCAAAAAGACTGAGATTGCCGCACATTGTCCTTCTGATCTGCCGTGGGTTGCAGACTTGATGGGTCTGGGGCCGAACCCGCTTTGGCCTGACAAGCAAAATGTGTTTTGAGTTCTCTACCCATCCGACAGGAACTCCACCCTGCAGGGCAAGATTCAGGATGCCCTGAAGCGTGCAAGCTGGGCATCTTTTGATCAGTGCTGCATACCGGGTCAACAGGTCACTTCATTTCAAAGGGGCATCATGCAACAGTTGACCAGCATCCAGTCGTTTCTTTTCCACACCTCCGGGTTACGTGTCATCATCTCGCATGGGATGGCTCATCCTTGAGCGACGGCTTCGCGCAGGCATGCTTGACACCAGCGAAAGCAGAAGGTGCCGGCAGCGTTTATATGCCACTCGTCATGTCCACACCTGCCAGTCTTCCTGAGCCCACTGCATTGTCTGTTGCATGAGCTGGCTGATATAAGGCTGAAGCCGTTGAAATATACTGATAAAAACCTAGCAGCCTTAGTACGTAGTGCCTGATGTAAGACAACGATCCCGCCTCGTCCCATCATCACAGTGTCTGGGAGAGGCCTATTAGAGCACACTTTTTATTCGCCCGTTTGTGCGAGAAGTCCCCTGGTTCCCTTTGCCTTGGAGTCAATTCCATGGGCCTGTTGCCTGTTGCCAGCCGCTGACTTTCGGGCCTTGTTTGCGCAGATACTCCCTGTGCGGCATAGTGCCCACCTGGCACAATGCGCTCAATCTGGCAGGGGCGGCCCCGATCTTGCAGCTTTTGTGGGATGGGGGGCGCTATTGCATTCAGCTCACCTTCGATTTGCCACGGGTGTCTGTCCAGAATTTTCGTTGGGTCATTTCACTTGTTCCCTGTGTTTGCGTCCTGTCCTTCTCCACCATTGGTTGGACTCCTTCTATTTAGTCCATCACCATTCAGTGTTTGCGTTGTTCCTTTTGGTCTGCTGTTCCCACTTCTGGCAACTCCTTTCAACTGCGCACCCCGCATACGGCTGCACGCTATAAATTAGGCAATGATTTGTCAAAGTTGTGGCCAGAGTTTGCCGCTTGCACTGTTGTCGACTCGAGCAAAAGTCGAGTTATAGAAGCCGACATAAGCATGCCAAACCAAACCTTGAACACATGGCACTCAAGGTTCCACCCTCCCCCTCTTGCACCTCCAATTCACGCCACCCATTTTTAAGTGTCCAGGATCGACGGCAGTGGCAATCTGACGCTGCTAAACTGAACCTAAGGAATCCCCAAACCCCAGGGTGTCGATTACTGTCTGGGAAGAAGACACTGATGTGCTTCGGGTACTGGATTAGGTTTCCCGGGGACAGTGAGACATGTAGGGATCATTCAAAGACACATTATGATGCTCAGGCTTTCAAAGCACTACGGTGGCCTGGAATCGTCGTATTGATAAGCCCCTTCTACACCTGGGACTATGGTCTGCCAGGAAGTCAGAAACGCAGAATCTCAAATTATGACACCAAAGTTCACAGTAGCAACATCGTGCCACGAAACTGGCTAATGGCAACACTTCCAGATGATCCAATCTCAATCCCAGTCCTACTTTTCCTACTCCGACTCTAATTATGAGAATTGGACCCCCTTGATCTAGATAGGCTTCTTGTCACCTAGCCAACAAAAAGTAGTAACTAGCGATGACAGATGCCAAAACTCTGGAGCGTTCGCTTCTAGGACCCACATCAAGGTATGCGCAGCTGTCCAGCTGAAGTGTTCAGCTCCCTCAGGGTCTCCTACCAGCTTTGCAAAGAGGCTACACAACAAGTGAGTCATGGTGTGGCATTCAGGGATCCCTTCCTGTCTCGGGGTCGTAGTGCTCATTAAAGGGTGTCCTTCGTTCAGGCATTGAAAGACATCCCCACGTGATCATTGACCAGCTGAGGCCATGGCGGATCTTGATAGGAAAAGCCTCGACCCCTGCTGAAAAGTCGAGTCTTTAGCTCAAGGGCGAGGCGAGAGAAAACTGCCTCCAACAAATGAAGGAATGGTATGTTCCGCAGATAGATGTCCATCATCACTCATGATCTAAACTGGAAGCCTCGGGCCTCAGACTCCATGTCACCGCGGCGCTTTGACTCCAAAGCGTAACCTTAATTTTCTGGCTTCCTGGAAACTGGTTGAGGCTACGACTACCTCTTTCTCCAGGCAAGGCGCTTCTCAGTCCGCTGTAGGCAAACCATGTTTGATCTATCCATGTGGGACCTGGAGACATCCAGGAGAGAGGAAATCTGCAGAAGCATCTGTGGCAGGATCTCCGTGAACCCGCCTTTCCAATAGCCATGCGGATTGTAGAAAGGATTGTCTTTGCTAACCTTGGCCAACCGCAAGTGCACCAAGCAGATGCAGTTTGAGCAGCTCATCTCCGAAATGCTGATGACCCCTCACAACTTCTTGTCTATACTTGAATGGGGGGCTGATGGAAGGCTGAAGTTGAGGAGAAACTTCTTGGGATCTTGTAGGGTGTCAGCCATCCGCCTTGCCTTCGGTCTATGTTCCATAACTGGATTTGTGCTTGAGCATCAATTCCAGCCTGAGGCCTGAGGTAACGATGCAACCCCGGCAAAGAGGGCAGCATAGCCTTCACAACCCTGCACAGGCAGCGCCTCAGAACATCAGGCGATCACAGGCTCGGCTGCATCACATGCTCACAAGAAAAATGCATCACGTGCTTTGCTTCGCACGGAACCGTTGAAATACATGTCCGAGAAGAAGCCAGCCCTGTGCCGGACAAGGTGCTCTCCAGAAACGCGAGTTATGCTCGAAAGGGACGGAATCGCTAGAATGTCCGCCCAGTGGGTTTTGTGTGGCAACAGGACCAATAGGACTCAACCCCGAGTGAATGGGATTGTGGCTTGTCTCCCAGTCACACGGCCCCTGCGATTTGACACAGCAGTCGGACGCTGAAGGTCATTTTGGGGATATGCGAACATCACATGATTGTTTTCGCCGAGCACACTTGGACCCCGGCCTCTCATCAAAGAGCGTCTCTCGCAACTTTGGCAGCAAAAGCTCCGCGGCAGCTTTCCAGTCCTGTGCCTCTCTGGCCAAGCCAAGCACCGCCGCCATCGCGAACAAAATCCTGAGATCATGTGGGGTCTCTGAAGGTCAAGATGTTCAAGCTCCTTGTCACTGCAAGTGCATTGGCACAGCGTCCTAAGTGAGGTCGCTTGGCAACTGTTGCGACATAAGAATGAATTCTCACAATGCAGCAGTGCCTCAGCTTGTCCTTGTAAAGATACGAATTCAAATCAATGCTCCAAAAGTCCAGCGTAGTGACCTGCTGTCAGGTAGAAATTGCTCATGTAAACAGTAACCTGCTTGCGGTACAGGGCTGGCAAGGTCAGGCGGCATGGCTGGAGGCGTTGGATACCGACGATGCGTACCGCGGCATGAACCTGACGCCATCGTCCATGCCACTTTCCATTCCCTGTGTCCACGAACACAAGCCGGCTCCCCTGACATCACGTGCTGAATACCAGAATTCATGAAATTGCTTCACGATGATGTACATTTCCTGCAGGAACATTGTATCATGAGTTGCCTGGAAAATTTCCCACACTGCCCATGCCAGCAGAGGCGGCTTGCCATTACAGCCACCTGCGTTCCCGCACCGATCCACCTTGTCAGGAATGTGGCCTGTCTGCTTGTCTCTCGCAGAAACAAGCAAGCGCAGTTGATCCTTAGCAAGCTGCGGAGCAAAGCTGACCATGCCAACAGCTTGCTTGTAAGTATCCCAAGACCAGAATCCGCTCTCATACCCATTGTAGGAAGGAAGGACGCCATCTGGAAGACCAGGCACAGATCGCCAGTTGTTCATCAGTGTCATTACGGCTTTGACGGCAGCCCACTTCATGTCTTGCTTATCACAGTGAACCAACACAGATTCTAAATAACCTGTCCACCGCCGAAATGCGTCCTCAGCCGCAGCGTTCAAGTCAATTGCAGTGCCAGCTTGCGATGAGTTCCGCAATGTTGCTTCAACCGAGACAAAGGCACTGATCAGTCCAAGCGGTGGAGCGCTCACATTCGAAGATGTGAACACAAGGCTGTCTGCACTTATCCTCGTGCGACTCCAGGTGAAGTTTTTTGGCCCGTTGTTTTCTAAATAACTTGTGGAAAGGAAAAGACCGCCTTCGCCAAATGCTGGACCACGGAAGCAGGAAAGTTGGGATTCCTGCAAAGAGAAGAAGACCGCATTATCTGTCAACTCAGTCACGTTTATGTTTTCAATTGTGACCCTAAAACTGACGATGACAGCTTGAGGCCCATGATTGCGCGCCGCGATCCTCACGACAGACGTGTTCACGGACTTGAATGTCAGCTGGGCACTGACAGTTAAAAGCACTCCACCATGTGTCACATTGCCAATGAGCACAATGGAGCCAGGATATGAAACTGCAGCCAAAGCTACTTGTGACCCTTCCACGAATACGGCATAGCGGACAACAGGTATGGTTCCTCCCAACGCCCAATCTGGGGCAGGCCCGCGGATGCCTCCTGCTGTCGGCTGGAAGCCGAACGTGGAACCCTGGTCAAAAAGCCAAGCTCCTCCTAAAACATCTGGCCAGTCGAACGGAGAGCTTGACAGCACACAAGCGCCAAAACACAAGATAAGTGACCATCTGGGGTTTGGAGACCGCATGCTTTGCAGCTCCTGCAAGAATACTAAAGTCTCTCACGCTCGAGCCAGCCGAAAAGATTCACAGGCCCATTTGCGTTGTACAAGCTGCGCAAGCAAGGCAGCGCAAAGCACCTTCCCCCCCTTCGCTTTGGGATCCGGTGGCGGGTCCTCATTTCTGCAGCAGCAGAAGAAGCAAGGCTGATGCTTAGATGCTGGATTCGTCACTAAACCAGGGGCGTGGCCAGCGGTCGAGCAACTTGGTGAAACGTAACCTCCCATTTCGCATCCTGAAGATAGCTGATTGCAAGGCTCGTCTGCTATGGGACCTGCTGGGCTCCTGTGCAATCCCTGCTGTCAGCAATGGCAATCTCTGTCCCGGCCGCGCATGCGAAACACAAACCTGATTGCCAGTGCTGAGGGCTCTACGTCACAAACATCCGCTAGCTTTGCAACAACTGAGCCAGCCGGCGTATCGCCCAGAGAACTTCAAAGTGGCCTCGGCTGGAGCTATTTTCATTTGCCATTGCTTAACCCCACCGAAATTTTCGCGTGGCCTGGCAATCGCATGGCGTAGTGGCTGCTAGAACAGAGAATTCTGTGCACCAAGCCACGGCATCAAACTGTTTTCTGTGCTGGCGAACCTGTGAACAGTCCGGCCAAGAACCAGGTAATCCTGGAGTCAGGGGGACCAGGAATTATTCACCCCTGCTGTTGCCCGAAAATTCTCTGCCCTGCATCTACATGGCGCGACTTCTTACGTGCAGGTCACTGCAAGTTGCACACGCATGCAACGATGCAACGGACCAAAGGTGAGATCACATGGATTGGCCGTGAATCATGAGCAGCTCCGCTGCCGGCCATCAATTGCTTTCATAATAACAAGAGTCACTAGCTTGACTGTACCAGCTTCAGCAGTCCAAGATTGACAACTGCGGCCTATTGCAGCTGACTCTTATCCCTCACATTGTATGGCACCAACGGGACTTCCTTCCTTGCTTGCAGCTTGCACTGGCGACGGTACAAATCATTGTTCTTCCAGTTCTTTTCTTCTTCGATTCCCAGGACTGCGAGCATTGTTTGAAGCCAACGCGCGTTCCAGACGTGAAACAAATCAAACGCGATGTACTTCTATTGTCTATGTTGTTGATGCTGCATCTTCATCGCGTTTGTGCGCATGCAGTTGTTTCCTAGCTAAAGATTCTACCGCTGGCTCGCCGTTTCGAAGAACGTATGGGGGGCGGGGGGGAGGTCTGCGAATGCAAATTGAAGAACGTCCTAAACATGAACCTGACGTGAATAAGTGTATACCTGCGATCACAACGTTCCCTACCATGTACAGCATGTCCGACATGTGCAACATGAGTGGAAAACATGTAAACCAGACATGTACCTTGGTGGCTCCTGTCCCTTGCTGTAAACAATCATGACAAAAAGCCTTGATCAACCATCATGAAAAAGGTGACATGTTCATACCTTGGTCTTGCTGTGTCAGATCCAAAACCCTTAGTTTGGAATCAAGGTGTACACACACACCCCTCCGAAGAAGGGGAACTTGAAGCAGGAACGGAAACGGCTCTCTAGTCGAAGACTTTAAGGTGCTCAACTCAGAAGGGTCCACAACTTCATGGTCGTCTATGGTTTGGTGAACGAGGTCGAACTTGTAAGGAAACATTGCAAAATACCGAACTCTCACGCAAATCTTGTTGGAATCTCATGCATCAGAAAGCTTGGTTTCAGAAAGTACGGCCCCACTAGCTGAACGGCGGACACAAGCTCGACAAGTCTGTATTGGCAGAAACAATCAAACTGTCTCAAGCAAAACTTGCTGGAATCGCATGCATCAGAAGGCTTGGCCTCAAAAAGTACCGCTCTCGTTGATGAACGGCGCACACAGGCTCGCACTCAGAGAAATCACATGCATCAGAAATTCCGGCTTCAAAAAAGTACGGCTCCACTGTCTGAACTGCACACAGACTCGCACTCAGAAAATCACATCCATCAGAAACCCCGGCTTCAACACGGCTCCACGGGCTGAACAACACACAGACTCGCAATCAGAAAAATCTCAACGGGCACAGGCGGTCTAACTATTTCAAGAAAATTAATCACATGCGTCAGAAAAACCTTGGTCCCAGAAAGCATGGCTCCACTGATTGAAAGCACAGGAAACCTTCACACTCAAAAATGGCCTGTCCTTTTCACTGGGATACATTGTAATAATAGAAAAAAGACCTAGCACCCAAGCAAGCCTACACTGTATAAAAAGCAGCCAAATCTAATCAAATCTTGAAGTGAGCTCAGTGGCAACCAAATCGACAGGCGTTTCTGCGGGGGCTGTTAAGGCCTATATTGGCACTGAGGCCTCCATGGGGTGTCTTGTGGAGTCCCACCTCAGCCTCCTGCGCTTGACTGGGCGACTAGTCCCCTCCATGGCTCACATAGTGTCGATACGACTCAAAAACCTTTTCTTCACCTGCAGGGATTACATCATCTACCCTTCTTGACAGTCACCGAGGCGCAAGACAAGTACGGTAGGTTTAGTGGGCTAACCAAGGTGACGGTCCACGTTTCTTGGGCCCCACCCAGAACAAGCTGGGGACAATCACAATTTCCGTACCTGGAGCGCCCTTGGCAGTTCCCTCGCGGGAAAAGTGCTCCGGCAAGAAGCCACACATGGATAAAGATTGTACCGTTAGCTTTCCGTTTCGAAGAACGTATGGGGGGACGGGGGGTTGCTAATGCAAATTGAAGAACGTCCTACACATAAACCTGACGTGAATAAGTGTATACTCGCGATCACAACGTTCCCTACCATGCACAGCATGTCCAATATGTGCAACATGAATGGAAAGCATGTAAAGCAGACATGTACCACGCTGCGCACTTCACTTGTCCTTCACATGGCTGTCTCAAGCTTCTCGGAAAAAGGGCTGGCACTCCGAAACTGGCTTCCACTCTGCACAAGCAAGTACACGAGGGTGATCGGCCTTCACTTCCACTGACTTGCCGTAGCTTCGTTGGATAAGATAGGCAAATCAGCTCCTGTCCCCCTGCCGTAAACCATCATGGCAAAAAGTCACATGTTCATACCTTGATCCCCTGCCGTAAACATTGTAAACCATCATGAGAAAGGTGACATGTTCATACCGTGGCCTTGCTGCATCAGGGGTTTACATACACACAAACGCTAAAGGTTCAGGAGCCAAAGCAAAAGTTCGACGCGATGGAGTTTGTTTGCCAAGCCTTCTACTGCGCCTTTTGCCTCCACGTCTTGGATCTGGTCAGTTTATGCTTGAATTACAGGCCGCACAATACCGCACGACACAGCCTCAGATTAGTACAGGAACACCGGAACAGAGCTTTCGACGCTGATGTCACCTAAGCTGGTACAGTCAAGCGCCTCACACCACGAAAAGGCGTGGTGGCAAAAAACTGGCGTATCAGCATGTATCAGGGCGAAGCAGACAGCCCGCTGGCCATCGGCCTCACCATGTCTCCATCTCTTTGGAAGGCAGGGACTTTGCGCTCTGCGCGTTTGAGCTTATTCTTCGATTGTCTTCCACCTTTTGCCAGGGCGGCTAGATGTTAAACAAACATGTCGCAGAACCCTGTGCATGTTGACACGAACCTGGATCCAGCACGACTGCCCATGTAGATTTTCTTCTGTACGTCCTTGCTCTTTTCGGACCTGGTCCACTTGCATGCAACTTACGGTAGTGGGAAAATTCTGAAACAATAGTCCGGGGTGCGAGTTCCACCATGCCTCAGCACCATTGTTGCTGCCATTGCTGTAAGAAAGAACATGCCCATCAAAGCAGGTGAGACGAGGAGCCAAAAACTCCGGAAAGTGGACCTCGCCGTTCCTTAGCAAAAGCTCAGCAAGTTGCCCATTTTGCCGGCTAGGGGAGGGTAGCATTGACATCCGAGCCTGTCGGTGTCCATCTCATTGATTGCCTTCTGGAGCTCAGCTTGCGAGAGGGGAAAGCCTAGCTCAGCTGCTGCCTGCTGCAAGAAGACTCGGCAGAAAGCCAATGAACACCCTGAGCGCTTCAGTCACATATATCTATATGTAAATGTAGACATGATCCCATTCGCCTTGGCGATGCCTGCTTTGGTCAGCGTACCCTTCCCCTCAACATCGATCTTGTCGAAGACATCCTGTGATGTAATCTGAATGCTAGTCATCAGCCAGGAAAGCTCGCGCTCTGCTACCGTACATGAAGCTGAAGACCCCCTCTGCAACTGAACCATTTGAAAGGCAATCTTGCGCCCAACCCATGCCCCTCATTTTGATCACTTCGCCCAGTACAAGTTGGTTGTTGTGCATCCTGATAGGGGCTGGCACAGCAGCTTCTGCAAGCAGGGTGGTTCGACTGTATGGTGAGGAAAGCTCCACGCATCGGCTCCGAAAATGCTGCCGGTGACACGAATGTAAGCACCAAGAGCTTTGCCGTGTCTTCTGTCAAAAGAACTGGGTTGCTTCCTCGCTGCCGCTACAACACTACATCTTGGACTGCGCAAGTGCCAGGCATTCCCGCCCGCCGACCTAGAAGCCCCGCACCACAGCCAGCTCTGGCCCCTTTCCCAAAATCAGGCTTTGCTGGGGCGGTCTGCCTCCATTCCGTTTGCGTAACAAAAAACTCTGGCTTAGATTTGTCGTGCTAGGGCTTGCCCTTCTCGCCTCTGTATTGGTGTCAGAAGCACAACGGTAACAGAAGCACCGCACATCGAGTCCTTCACGTCTGCAGTGCAAGCTGTTCGAAGAAGTGCTCCGACTTTGTTGGGCACCTGCTTGCAATTGCAGTTCAGATCTGCTTGGCTATCAGGAGCCAAAGCTCTTGGCCAAGCCACAGGTCCAGCAAAGTCACGCGCGAGAATCTGCTCTGCTCGCTCATGCTCTTCCAGAGCACGCGCATCAGACCATCCCAAGCACTCCTCAGACCATTCAGCAGGACGAGGGCAGAAGAAGCAACCAAAATCCTAAGCAACTGGTGCTGCAGCGTCACTCAGCAGCGCATGACGTTGCATCACAGTGGCATCACAAAATACCTGCCTAGACTTGGAGAGAATAAACGCATCCCATTGCACTTCAAGGCTCGGCCATGATCTCAACGACACGTGGCAGACACAGACGTGCTGCCGTCGAGTTAAGGAAAGCCAGGCGTGTTCTTCGAGCTAAGACATCTGCAGGTGTGACCGCATATTCCTGGTTGACCTCGGCCAGCACATACCCGTCTGATGCGTGCTGGCCCTCGACAACTGCTCAAGAGTTAAGCAAAATACGGCGGCCAAGAGACTGCGTACCGCACTTCTGCCTCCAAATAAGGGTAGCCGGTCGTTGCGGCCGCACCCTCATACAGTCTCGGGTAATGCTTGTACAGGCCAGATCGCGATCCTTACTGTAAGGCCATTCTGGAACGCTTCTTTTATCAGAATCGGCTGCTATTTTGCATCAGAAGCACCCTTCACCTGGCTTTCCTCTACGCAGGAGAGTACATCGCCGGCCTCAGACTTCACAGTTCAACAGTATGCTGCCAATAGCCCTTGCGTCTGTCTTCGTTTGTGTTTGATGACCTCTAGTTGCATCAAATAAGGCTTTCTTCCGAGACGGCAACAAAATTCGGTCCCCGATCCCGCTATGACGGCATTCCAAGCAAAACTACTTTAGCACTGCAGCTGTGAGCAACTAGTGCTCCGAAAAGCGTTTGCCTGGGTTATCGCCTGCCGCTGGTGGTTCGGTTATTGGGATTATGGTAGCGATCATCGTGGTTGTGCTCGATGTCGTCCTCGTCGTCCGCAGCCTCGTGGGCTTTCTCGTTGTGATTATCGTGGTTATTGTGGTTTTCGTTGGCACACCACTGAAAGCCCAATGGCTCGCGCTGGCCATCTCCATGGTGCTTTGCTTACGCGTGGTAGGTGCCGCATGTTCCCAGGCGATGCTGGAGCCTTTTTGTGATGTCATGCTGCCAAGCTGCAGCACACTTTTTCAGCTCTTCTGAGAAGCTGGCGTGCAGCATCTGGTGTCTATAGCTTTGCGCGAGAACAAACGAGGCAAGCTGCCATTGAGCTCGCTGCCCGCAGGTTTCTCTGCTTTGTCTCGCTTGCTCGCGGCGGAGATGTCTCGGCTATGGCGAACGCACGCTTCGCCACAACTTGAGTTCGGGTGAGAAAGAAAGCTTCTTGGACACTGTGGCCGTGGCCCTTACAAAGTTCGACCAGGGAGAACCGCAACGCACAGTAAAGGTTTCTCGGTCAACTGTGTCTGCATACATGTAGTCGAAATAGTTTTCCGCGAGTTGGCCCGTTAAAATTCGCACCTCTCAAACGGACCTGTAGCCACGAAGTGCTGTAAAACGCACGACTTTATTAACTTTTAGCACTCTGTCAGTATGCCCGAATCCCCTACGATCAGATACAGCCTCGACGCCTGGCAGCAGCAGCAGCAGCAGCAGGAGGAGGAGGAGGAGGAGTAGTAGTAGTGGCAGTAGTAGTAATAGTAGTAGTGATAGAAGTAATGGTGGTAGTAGTAGTAGTAGTAATAATAATAAGAATAATAGTAATAGTAATAAGAATAGTAATAGTAATAGTAGTAGTAATAGTAGTAATAATAGTAATAATAGTAATAGTAGTAATAGTAATAGTAATAGTAATAGGAATAGTAATAGTAATTAGTAATGGTG